GATCATAACCAGTTGTAGACCTGCCTTCGTCGTGAACATTACCCTAGTTGGAATCGGAAAATGCAGTGAGATGGAGGGGGCAAGATCGATGAAGATATAACCCATAGTCAAGTATAAGGCTGTTAACGAACGAAGCTTTTGTCGAACTATTCGAGTTCAAGCTCGGTTTCGAACCTAAAGAGCCAAGCTTAACATGCTTTCGAACTCGAACCCGAGCTAAATTTTAAGTTCAAAAAATTAATCATGTCAAGCTCGAACATAGCAGTATTCGGCTCGATTCGAACTCGAGCTTACCGAACACCCTAAAATTATAAATATAATTTATGTATATGTCAAAATTTAAATATAATTAGTATGATTTTATGAATTCAAAATTCTAAATATGATTATGAACGAACCGAATACTTATCGAATCATTCGAGCACGAGCCTATTACTGAGCATCACCTAAAATTTTAAAATCGAGCACTCAGTTCGAACATCGAACGCCTATCGAGCCGAACATGAGCCTCATTTGTAAAGCTCACCGAGCTTCGACCTCGAACCCGAACACCACTAATTCCTTATCGCGGCGAACTCGAGCTTTGGGTGTTCGGGCTCGGCTCGGCTCGGCTCGTTAACAGCCCTAGTCAAGTGTGCCCTTCAGACAGTGGAGGACTCTTTTCACTGATTGTCAGTGAACATCCGTAGGTTGATGCATGAATCGGGAAAGACAGTTGATGGTGAAAGAGAGGGTTGGTCTTGTAAATGCAAGGTACTGTATAATCTGAGTGCCTGGCGGTACTGTTTTGGATCCTGCATGAATCTGCTATCCGAAATAGTTAATGAAAATGAGGAGGTCATTGATGTGGATGATTTCTTAGCTCTAGACATAGTACATGTTTCTAGTGTATTGATCAGATACTGACGTTGGGAGAGAAAAAGCCCATTTGAGGTGAGAATGACATCAATACCAAGGAAGTGGTGAAGAGGGCCTAGGTCTTTGACTGAAAATCGAGTCGTGAGTTAGTAACAAAAGCATGCATTGATTGCCAAATGAGAGTTCACAGTGAGTACAAATCCATCCATTTACACTAAGAAATATTTGATGGTCCCACCATGAAAGTATATGAATAAAGAACTGTCCTCTCGTGATTTGCAAAACCCAACAGAAATAAGAAATTGAGAGAGCTCCAAATACCAAGCATGTGAGGTCTGTTTGACTCCATACAAAGCCGTACGAATTGAAGTCGTCATACACGAGTAGGATACTGAGAGTCAACATACCTGATGGGTTGAGTCAAGTAGGCTTCCTACGTTAGAGTGTCGTGCATGAAGGCGCTGTTGACATCAAGTTGTTGAAGACCCCAGTTGCGAGATAGGGCGTTGTCCCTACGGCTTAGTACACCCAACTAAGCCTACCCAAGGGACTAAGCCGAGAGTAAGTGAGTGTGTGAGCGAGTGATTGAACATCATGAGCGTTAGGAAGCAGAAGGTTCGAGTGAGCAATAAAACAATAATCAATGATGAGTCTGCCACCTCAACTGCCTGCTACGAAGTGAACATTTATCCTAGCCACTCTAATACTCTGGACTATCCCCATAGTTTCAGGACTGATTTAATCAGATCCCGAGTAGAAGTCACTGCATCTTGGCCAATAGTGCATGCTTAACCCTACCCAAGACCACTCATTTGTCTCCCAACAGACAAGTGTTTAATCATATTTCACAGGGAACCACATCTCTCATTACTGTCTCCTTCCGATGCAAGTGATACTGACTACAGTGGCATCAACCCCATGCCACTGAACTTTCATTGATCACGTCGTGTTTAGTTACATCACTTCCAAATGTTTTGAATTTTCTAGGACACGGACACACTTTTAGAGTCAGTTGTAGGTCTTCATGACCTGCGAGAACTTCCATAGGGCTCATCTATTACACATTTAGACCAATGATTGGAAGGAAGTCCTGCTGTTGCAACATTGCTTATCACCAACATTTTCAGGCCATTGCTTTAGATTTTATCTCTATAGTGATGATAACGAGTGTCTACATGACCTCGGGGGGCTACAAGTTTCTCAATGCTGATCTTTATGGTCATGCAAATAACAACCAGAGTGACATCTTTTCGGATGCTTCACAACAACTCGTTGGAAGTCCTGTAAAAGCTTTAATGTTTCTATCATTTTATACAGGCCACACATCTGTGTTTACATTGATGTTGTGATAACAGAACACCTCAGTGTATCCGGTTTCGTCTTTTTAACTTTTTTGTTTGTTTTTCTGTTTTGCTTCTCAGAATAAAAGAATAAAGGCATGACGCCCCGATTCATCGGATCGTCATGAGGGGGAGAGTGACCCACATGCTGTTAAAAGTCACCAAATCATTCTCGGACACTTCTCTCCTATCATAATTTTCAACTACTCTCTTCTATCTCTACACCTCAAATGGTCAGCTACGCTCACAAGTCAACCATCTTTTTCCGTTGTGCCACCGACAAGGTCTCCTCAAACGTATTCACTTCGAATAGTCAAAAAGACTACATTGTGGAGGAGACAAAGGTCACATACTCGAATTCTGAAGATGATTTCCATGTGCGCCTGCAATTCTTCAAGAACATTCATTCTAGAGGCACCAACGGACTTCATTCAAGCTGATCAAGAGCTACTTCTGAAGGCAAGGTTTACAAGCAAGCCAAAGGAAGATTCCTCAACCCCTGACATCAAAGATCAAATTGCCAAGAAGACATCAAAGGGGAGATTGCAGGGATTTCTTCAGAAAGCCTTCTCAAGAAGTCAAGTTCAAAGATAAAGGAAGCTGAATAACAACAAAGACAAAGATATCTGCGCTGCAATGCTGATTCAACACGATTGAACACCAAGGGGGAGATTGTTAGGAATATTTTATGGTTTCCAATCTAATTTAATATCTTTGTATTTGTGTAGTTATTAGTTAAACGTGTAATATGAGCCACTAATGTATATCAGTCCATTAGCTTCTTTGTAATCTATAAGTTAGCCAACTTCTCCTATAAAAGGAGCTAACTTATGAAAATCTAACAATCTATAAGATTCGTTTCATCTCCATATCTATCTAGCTGCTTCTTCTTTATCTGTTATGATTGTTAGATTGTTAGATAACATGACTATCACAAGGCATGTTTCACATTGGCCGGTTCGAGGCTTGGGGGCAATAGGGTGATTAGGTATGTGAGTAAAACAAATAAATATCTGACACATTTGCTAATAAAATAAGACATAAAAAATGGATATATATATAAATTATAATTTTATTTTGAATTGAAAAGATATCTACTTTTAAATAATTATATATGCAATGGACTAATTTTGTCACAACATCTCTTACGGAGTATTAAAAACAACTCAATGAGCACCCCAAACTTTTAAGAATAATTATGAGTATACTAGTTATATTTTAGTGACTCTAAAAGAAACTTTAGTCACTATGATTATATTTTATTTTACACCGTAGTAATGATGACGATATATTTATACAAACTTTGATCATATTTTTTCTACTCCATATAAGATTTATTTCAATGGTATATAAGGAAAACCCTCAACTATTAAAAAGTTCTAAGTTTGTTTTAAATATTGGGGACACTTTTCATGGCAAGACTTATCCTATCCCAAAGGTGTGCAATTTATTTTGTTTAGAGCATATGCATGTGGTTTCACACAATTTTGGGGCCTGCACTATTCATTTGATTAACCATGAGACCGGTGAGCATTTAATTACACAAATTGTCTCTTTTATGTAGTTTGCAAAAATATATGGCGCCATACATTGTGGAGGGCTGCTTTGCCTAATTTATTTATAAAAATTATTACATTTATGATTCATGTAGGCATTTTTGTGTACACGCCATTTTACATGTCGAACAAATTGTTTATGCACAGATAAGTTTTTTCATTTTTTAAAGAGATTTGTGTCTCGCAGAGACATATTTTGTCTGTGCAAGATGTAATTTTCTTCACAAAAAAATGAAAAAAAATTATCTGTACACAAACAATTTTCTTGACCTGTAAAATGGCGTGTACAGAAAACGCGTATAAACAACGCTTCTAAAATTGTTTTCCTTGGCTTTTCCCATTGATTTTAAAAAGTACTAGGAGATAATAATTGTAGTAAAACAAGTATGGAACAAAAGCATAAAAAGTTGGAAAAACTAAGAACGCGGAGAAAAGGAAAAAGTAGAATTGAAAATTCTGGAAAAGGATATCACAGACGAAAATCTGCAAAAAGTACACAACTAAAAAACAATAAATTTTGGAGAAATTCATAAAGATAATCTTTACTTTTAAGTATTCTACAATAATAATCTCTACTCACAATATTCACAAAAATAATCTGAACTGGTGTTCATAAAAATAAATTGGGGTAAATTCAAATTAATGTCCATTTCATACTCTCAACCCTTGCTCTCACTTTTTTCCTTCCCACTCGCCTTTTTGAGGCAAAAACAAACTAAATCTCATTTAATATCTACATCATTTCCATCATATGTGGTTTTCTCTAGATTGAAACATAAAAATGTTAACGTAGACAAAAGTGGTGAATGAGAAAATGATAATAAAGTTGAAAGTATTGCATATATATTAATTTTAATGCATTCCAATTTATTCACCATAGTAAAAAAGAACGGAGGAAGTACATTATATTTTATACTTATTCGTGTGGGTGAAAATCTATAAGCAATGAAAGTATCATACAACATAAAAACATCAATGCAAGGACTTAAGGAGTATTGAACCTATTACACAAAAAGGTAACGTCGCCTGAGAGATTCGAACTCTCGCGGGGAAACCCCATGTACTTAGCAGGCACACGCCTTAACCACTCGGCCAAAGCGACTCTTTGATTCAAAATATGATATCAAAATAATAGTATTATTTCTAGTTAGATTGTCACTTTTTTGGACGGTTTTACTTGCAAATCCAAAATAAATGAATAAATTTTACTTTTTCTCCAAATAAATTTTACTTTTTTCCATCTCAGAAATTTTGGCGTACAGAGAGACATGGGAGTGGTGATTATCGACGGCTCCACCGTTCGAAACTTCGTGAATGACGAAGATCTGTTCAACAAGGCAATAGAAGAGAGGTTCTCGAAGTTGGACCTCAACGACGACGGCGTTCTGTCGCGGTCTGAGCTGCGGAAGGCGTTCGAGTCGCTTCGTCTCCTAGAGGCTCACTTCGGCGTCGATGTCGCCACGCCGCCGGAGGAACTAACCAAGCTCTATGACTCGATTTTTGAAAAGTTTGATTCAGACCACAGCGGGAGCATCGACCGCGCCGAGTTCAAGAGCGAGGTGAAGAAGATCGCGCTGGCTATAGCCGACGGTCTCGGCTCGGCTCCGATACAGATGGTGCTTGATGAGAGTGAGGGTGATAAGAACTTGTTTCAGCAAGCCGCGGACAAAGAAGCTTCTCAGATCTCCGGTTGAGACCCGGCCCACTGCCAACTCCGGATTCAGGTCATTGTAAATCCCTAAATAACTACGCCTGTAAATTCAGCCAAATAACTTCTTATACTCGGTAATATGAAGTCAAGTTTGAAAGTTTGATTATCAATGCTGAAAGAATTATCTGTTAGAGCACTAACAAGAGCACAAATTCGATTAAAGGTTATTCCTAGGCTTGTAGCCATATATTCTGCCAACTTGTTTGATGATTTCTTCATAGATTCATAGAGAAAAGCATCATGTATGTTCAAAATAGTGGATTTAAGTTGTTTTATGGAACTAATTCAAGAAAAAATCTTTTATAGATGCCCCTATTTTGACTATGTAGGTAGATGATTCGTCTATTTTTTTAAACAGTATGTATCAAACCTGATACACTCGTGCATTCATCAAACTTGAGCATCCCAAAGAGATATGTATCATGGGATTTGCTTCATTATTTCAGCTACGGGCTACGTTTTAATAAGTTTGTGAAATAATTATATTACAAAATAATTACATTATATGCATACAATTAAAATAAAAAATGCGGGCAATCAGGATTTCTCGTGTACTATGAGCTTATTGATGCCACTGATCTGGTGCGGTGCGAGAGTTTTCGATGAGTAGCTAGAAGGCAGCGGGCATCTATATATAGTTGTTTCATGATAGTTTCCTTGGAGTGTTTGGAGGAGATATATGTCATATGATGCTTGTAGGGGAAGCTGAAGGACTGTCTTTTGATATAGCAGGAGGAGCACTGAGAGGGAATGAGCAACCTTTGGGTTTATCTGTGGCTGGAACTGTCATAAAGGAAAAAATCAAAAGATGGTGAAGTTTCGAATATTTAGAGGCTTCATGACTGCGATTTAACGCCTAGGTAAAGGTGTATCAATTAACGAAATTGATGACAAGAGATACCTTTTCAACTTTTACCATGAAATCAAAATGCAACTTGTCCGGATTGAGCGAAATCCGTTAGTTTTTAATGAAATTGTGATTCACCAGAATAAAGTGATGGTTCACAAAATTAGAACAAAATATCAACTTAAGAATGTATAACTTAAATAGTAAAACTAACCATGAAACATGGTTTATATTCTATCACCAGAATGTATAACTTATTCATCAAGAAGTTTGTTTCTTTTTCATTATCGGATATATATTTCTCTTCAGTTCCTCCATCACCTTTCTCATCCACAAGCATACAACTAGTATTTGCACTAAGAGTTGTGGACTGTCTGCTAGTTTATTGTATCAGATAAACTAAGTCATTTGCACCACTTTGGTGGTATGTGTTTTCAGTCAATCACTAATTGCAACCATCAGTATTGTCTCAACAAATGCGATCTCTGACATCTTTGGAATCAAAGCAAGCCTTCAAAGTTGCATTATACTCCACTTCATAAAAGTAAATCATTTAGTTTCTGATTATTATTGTTATTGTTGTTATTATAATGATGATATACTGTTATACTTTGTGTAGTTTAGATTTTATGGATTTATAAGCTTGTAATATTGTTTTGGTGTTTAATAGCTGATTGAGTCGTAGAACTCTAAAGTTGAAATTGTAGCTGCTCAAACACATTTTAATTGCATTCGCAACCCCAACTACTGCAAGTGAGGTTAAGAATTCTTAATTTCCTATGGAGTTGTGCTCTCATACAAGCACTGTCATTCAACTACATTTATCATATAAAAGTTCAAAATGAATTATTAATATAGCAACTAGTTGACAAATTGGTAAGAGCGCATCCAAAACGTATATATATTACGTGGAGCCTTTATCTTATCAAAAACACCAAATTGATAACAAACAAACCTTCAACTCATGTATATTTTGATAATTCATCATCAATCACAAGCTACTCTATACCGTGGCAGGAGTATTTAGATCTTGTCATTGAACTAGATTTGTGGATCAACATAAAAACAAAATTGCAACTTGTATGTGCCGGCTTACATGCCTGTTAAAATTTGTTTGTGCAGAGACAATTGATTTTCATTTTAGTAAGGGGAATTGTTTGTGACCCGAAGTGTTTGCACAAACGATTCACTTTTTCGGGGTCACAAACAATTCCATTTACTAAAATGAAAATCAATTGTTTGTTCACAGACAATACATTTTAGATGTTAATTGTCAATTAATATACATTTTATATAATAAGTATTCTAAGTCTTAAACAATGAGTTATTATATTGTTTATGTCTTTAAGTTATGTAAATTATTTTAGATGTTTTTTTTTTAATTTCTAATTAAATATTACATTATGTAATGCTATATATTACTTTTGAAAGCTTAAAGTTAAGGGGGACGAACACATATACATAATTAAAGTATGAAAATTTCATGAAAATATTTCATATATAATAGAAAAATTTCGATTCAATTTAGTTAAAAGATCCGAAATTCACTTGGATCACCGAGTGTACATGAATTTTAAAAGGAGATTTTTCAGTGCTTATACCGTGCTTATTTTTTATTTCTCATTTTCTTAAAATTGTTAATAATTTTTTATTTTTGATCTGATTTTTATAAAATTTATACCAATTTTTTTTTATTTTTCATGATCTTTCAAATGAGACCAATATTGCCTATGTAATTTTAATTTTTTACATGCATACAATTTTTTGTAATATATTTTTATATGCATACACTTTTTCTATAATATATTTTTTATCACTTTTATATGTTTTAGAGGTTTTTAAGATATTGAGTTTGTTTATTTTGCTTCTAGCTTGGAGTTACATTTGATAATATACGAAGTTACATCATCTTATACTCCAGTTACAAGTTATTATGTGTGAGTTACATGTTGTTATGTGTGAGTTACATCTTGCTATACACGAGTTACATACTTTTATGCGAGAGTTACATGTAATTATGTGTGAGTTACATCTTGTTATACACGAGTTACATACTTTTATGCGCGAGTTAGTTATAACTGAATTCAATTATAACTGAATTAATTTTTTTGTTTGCCAATTTAATACAAAATTTTATTAATCCACATAAAATAAGTATATTGTATTTCATATTCATACACTATTTTTCAAATGCTAAAAATGAAAGATGTAGCAGAGGTTTATTTCATGGTGTAACTCACATACAAGATGTAACTCGTGTATATTAAGATGTAACTCGTTTACAATAAGATGTAACTCGCGCAAAAGAAGATGTAACTTCATGATATATTATCAAATGTAACTTCAAAATAATTTGTTAAAATTACATAAACAATATTGGTCTCATTTGATAGATCATGAAAAAAAAATTGATATAAAATTTAAAAAAAACCGGATATTAAATAAAAAAGTTATTACAATTTTTAACAATAAAAGAAAAAAAAATAATGAATGTTGCGTCGTTTTGGGATCAGGCGCACCATTCTCATGATGCGCCGATCCCAGGGTATAAATTGCGGAATTTTTCGATGTAGGAGTCACAACATAATGGGTTCCCTAAATAGGATTATCGGAATGTATTGTTATTTTTATCTAAATGAGTGAAAATATTGTCATTTTGAATTTATATTGACATGCTATGACATTATAAGACACTAATAAGGACATATAAATGCTATAATATGACAATATTTTTTAGAGTGACAATAATAACTCATATTCAGGAGTAAAACAATCTTAGTACTCGTGTTTATAGTTTGTTACCTTAATTAATAATAGGAGAAATCTAAACGTTTACTTTATAGAAACTAGCATGCACCATATGATTTGGTTCTATTAGAAGCAAATATCTATTATATTTACCTAGCAAATGAGCAATAAATGGGTCAATAAGGTACTTAGGTACGAGGGTGATATTTAGAATAAAAACAAATTTGGGTGGACAACCCTGTTCCCATTACTTGAGTTTTGCACATTTGTTGGAGGTGTAGCTAACAGCACCGTCCACATTACTATATAAATTATTTTCCGTAATAGCTAACAAAATAAGAAATAATAGAATATGCACATAAAATGGACATTGAAGAAATAGAATAAGAAAATCCAATAAGACATAACCAAATATCCACATAAAAGATATAGAAGCAAAAAATCCAGCAACACGTAATCACATAACCAACCAAAAATATGCACTCTATCGCTCTGCATATATCTACTTTTTTTCTTTATTGCTTGTAAGGATATAAACTTTTAACATTATATACGTACCATGCTTTGATTTTATTTCCCTTAATTAATGTATATAATAATTAAAATTTATGTATAAAATGTTAATTTGGCAGTTCAGCCATTTAATTTTATTTGCTCTGTAAGACTTTTCAAATGCTTAAAGGGGTAGGGCTAGTAAAAATTTGGTAAAGTGAAAAAACTCAAAGACTATTCGATCGGAGGATTTTGAAGGGAAGGGGATGAAAATAGATAAGTCGTGTATGTTTGGTTGGAGGAAGAAGGAAGGACGGGATAAGTGGATGACTTTCAAAATTTTCTAATGCATATATAATTGCAAAAAAACAAGTGAAACTAATAAAAAAACTTCCATATGAAAGTAGTGTAAGTAAAAATAAACCAAGTATTTAACTTGTGAGATTTTTTGTGTGCTTTCTCCATATTCTAGTACATGTTCCGTTGAATGACAACAATCTTGATTAGGATGAGTTTCGAACGTGCAATCTCCTCTTTGGGAGTATCACAATGATGACATTGAACCACAAAGTGCTTGACATTTAATTTGTGAGTTTGTCACGATGTATTTGTCTACATTTGTCAACTTTTTAAATAATTTTGAAATACATGATTATACATATATAAATTAACAATTGCAATTAAAATAGGATAGGACCAATGCAACAAGACAAATCAAACAGGGCGGCCATCCCCCCTTTGACTCAAATCTCATCCATTTCGAATTTGGCTTCTATATAATAAACGTGCTTCATGCATGTGCTAAGCATTTACATTCTTCTATATAATTTGGATTCATCTCTAGATTAAATATTAATTGCTTTTTTATTCTCAATCTCAAAGCTTTCTTGTTCAATGATGGAGAACAGTATGTTGATGAAGGTGGGATTGTTTTTTGTGGTACAAGTTTTGGTTTACCTGATCATCTCCAAATCTTCCAACGTCTTCTCAAAAATGCCAAGATCCTACAGCTTCAAAACTGTACGCTCCCTCAGCATCCGCCGATTGATGGCTGTCCTCAGCGACTCTCCGACCGATGCCAGCCCTTCTTCTACTTCCACCTAGGGCTGGATCAATCTGGTTCCATTTCCAAGACCAGTTGGTCCAGAGTTTTGGGAACGGAGGCCAGGACCATACCGGGGGATGGCAATATCAGTCTGTTCAGTTGTAATTAAGTAGTAGTTGCAATTATATTATCAGTTCAAACCAAAGCAATTTCTTTCCCAAAATGAATATGTAATTGCATGAAATTAATATTGTAACAATGTGACATACTTGCATGCATAATTTTTTATTTTTTTTGTAGTTGCGCAATTATAGCAACACAGTAAATTTATTTTCGTTTTTGGAATGGTTTTATGAGATTAAATTTTGCTACGTAAATATTTTGTACTGCTACCTTGACGGCTAGACGATAGTATAGCTGCCACAGAAATTGAATACGATCTATAGCTGTAAAAGTAACACTTAATACAGCTCATGAAATTTTACATCGTGGTAATCCAAACTACCATCATAAACTTCTCCATATATGAAGGGAAAAACAGAAATAAGGGTCAACCACCTATATGTATCATTGGTCTATTTGGTGTTTTTGCTATGTCAAACATTCCAGCATGGGAGGCCTTCTTTCTTTTAACCTGCACATGAAGTAGAACAAATGGATAACGATATCAAACATTTTTTCATAAACCTAGTACACATTTCTTGAAAATAATGAATGGGTAAAGATGGTGAGAAGGATGTAATTAAGCTGTCTTTATACAAAAATCGGCATATTCAGTCTTTTCTTTACAGGAGAAAATTACTTAAATAGGATTAAAACATAGATAAAATGCTTAAAATTACAAATATGACTCATTCACTCCAAATTGAGAAAGATTTATGCTTTTTATAGGATCAAACACGTCATATTTGGAATAAAACATAACTACTCTGGTTTGTACCGAGTATAATGAAAAGAAATCACTGCGATTCAAATAAGATGGCATGCATCGAACTCAAGTGAAACTCAAACTATGACAATTGTTGCCAGTGGTTAAAAAATACACTAAGATACTCACTGCAGACCCAATTATTGCCCTGAGTTCTTCATCATCAGCGCCACTGCGAAGAGGATCCCTTAGGCTAACCTGCGGAAGATAAATATTTAGTGCTTGCTTTTAATCTCTCATGGACATATGGCACTAAAATTGATAAATACAAAGGAAAAAATGCCATAAAATGAAGAAACAAGAAGCTATCGGCCTTATTTGGCTTTCTGTTTTATCGAACACTAAAAAAATGGAAACTGTGAAAAATGGTTTACAGTTTTTCTTGACATTTTTATAATTGACATTATTAGTTTATACGTAGTATATGACTAGTTATTAGCTCATTATAGAACCTATATTATATACATTGAAATTGTAACTAAAGTCGGGGTGCTCGTGAGGAAAGAAAGTTCACCTCAGAGGGACCAAAAAGGCATACTTTAAAATTTCCATCTGCCAAAAGCCTCAACCTGTTGCAGCCAGCACAGAAGTGCTCCGTCATT